ACACACACACACACACGCACACCATAGACCATCCCTTGCAGGGCGAACTTAGTTAATGTCTAGCATGGCTGCAAGGGTCACACACACACACACACACACACACCATAGACCATCCCTTGCAGGGCGAACTTAGTTAATGTCTAGCATGGCTGCAAGGGTTACACACACACACACAGACCATAGACCATCCCTTGCAGGGCGAACTTAGTTAATGTCTAGCATGGCTGCCAGGGTTACACACACGTGTCTAAGCTAATTGAGCCACCCCATTGCCCTCAATGCACACACACACTCATGGGAGAAATGCATGGACAAGCATTGCGCAATGGACATGAAGAGGAGTCTTTGTATGTGGGAGTGGCCTAAGCATGTCCCTACACCTCGCCAGCCTCGTGTCTAAGCTACACACACATGGCCCTTAGACGCAAAAGGCTTGTCCTAGTCACCCATGGCATGGACGTCGCACAGGTTTCTTCCGTTACCAAAGCTAACACCATGACAACATGGCACAGTAGGTTGCATGGTGAACATAAATATGACTCCATTTGCTGTTTTCAGTTCTTCAAGAAATCTGGTTTGTGCAGGGAGAATCTTTCTTTCAATTGATTGAAGCAGTGGACAAGAGGTGATGTCATTGAAGAATAATTAGGAAATTAAATAATTAATAATAACTACTAGATTTGGTTCATCAATGAGATATACAGATAGTCCTAGTATATAGATCGCTGTAGTTAACTTGGATGGGGAAATTTTTCTAGAAGGGTAAATAAGAGGATAATTTTCTAAATATATTCCTATAATTTGCATGCTTTTCTTTATCTATCAAAAAAAATTGCACGCTTTTTGAGAGGAGATAGGTTTCATGAGATTGTGAATTGGAATGATCCCTATGACTTAAAATTATACAGGAAGGTTCTAGAGAAGAATCAGTTGTTTGAATTTGTGACTAGGCTTAACCCAAAGTTTGGCATTGCTATCTAGACAGAAAATTCTCAGTCAGGATATTATGAACCCATCACATCATCATATGCCTTTGCTCTAGTTCAACAGAAAGAACTGTGAAATAGACATTGCCTTCCATCATGGATTGCTCTGCCTCGGCACCTCTGAAACCAAAGTCAACAAATAAGAAGCCTGTTCAGATATGACATGGATGAGTTGAAAAAAAAGTTATTGCCATTAACCCAAAAATACCCATAGCAAGTGGAAACTCCATCCACACTTAAAGCGAGCAACGTTTCAATGGGGGCATAAAGAGTAATACCAATATTGTCATCTATGCAAGAGCTCTAGACTACAACAGCCCCACATACTCCAACATGGCCTTCCTCTACAGAAGCATTAGTCCCTAAATAGGACCAATGTTGAGAATCTAGTATTCCAACTAGCCTCAAGMATAGTTCTA